TCAATAAATGCCCATTTCTTCCCCTCCCCCAAAAGTCTCGAGTCTCCATCATGACCATCCCCCAGATGGTGCACATCTCACTCATTATGTATTTATATACCCGCCCTCCCCCCCTCCCCCTCCCCCTGCCAATACCATCATTACCCTATTACTGTAGTACCTATGTGTCCACTTAGGTGCTGCTCAGTTAATACCAGTTTGCTGGAGAATATATCTGGTGCTTGTTTTTCCATTCTTGAGATCTGCTGATTTTAAATACCAGATTTATCCTTCAAAACCAAACACTTCCCTCACCAACACACGCACACAAATCCCCATCATTTAGACAGGATGTCTTCCTTTTAGATGTATTTTTTCATTAAGACTAACACCATTTATCCTATGACTGTGAATGAAACTGGCTCTTAATAAGCTAAGCTTGCCAAGGGGGGCTTGTTTCAGTGTTTGCTGAGACGTAATTAAACACCCAGCAACCAGCCAAGCATCGAAGGACCACAGGCTGCTCTTGAATTGTCCATCTGCTTCCAAATATAATGACGATGATTGACGACCTTGGGGAGCGGGCTGTGGCTAAACCTAGACAAGAGCTAATCCCTGTCCGACACTGGTGCCTGCTAGCGGGCAGTCCACACACACACAGAGGAAGAAAAACGGTTCATTTGGAAAAGGACAAGACAGAATGTACAAGATGGCAGAAGAAGGAACTTAACATTCTATAAATATTTAGAATATTTGCCTTCAGAGAATTTTAGACTTGATTCATTTATCCCTAAGTTAGAAAATCTTTTAAGAGGATTTTTGCTAAGGGAATGGTACATGAATTAGAATGTACAGACTAGGCTGTGTAGACAGATAGCCCTGGGGAATATCTTTGTTTTTCCAGTTTTTTCTTCCAGAACTATACTGTGCAATATAGTAGTCACATATGGCTATTTAAATTTAAACTTAAATTAAATTTAGGTATAATTAAAAATTCAGTTCTTCAGTTGCTCTAGCCATATTTCAAGTGCTCTATTGGACAACTGATCTAGAATCTGATGTTCAAGTGTTGAAATGAAGACACTTTCCCAGCATTCTCAAGACAATTTTTTAAAAATTATGTAATATTTCAGCCGGGCGAGGTGGCTCACGCCTGTAATCCTAGCTCTTGGGAGGCCGAGGCGGGCGGATTGCTCAAGGTCAGGAGTTCAAAACCAGCCTGAGCAAGAGCGAGACCCCGTCTCTACTATAAATAGAAAGAAATTAATTGGCCAACTGATATATATATATATATATATAAAATTAGCCGGGCATGGTGGCATATGCCTGTAGTCCCAGCTACTCGGGAGGCTGAGGCAGAAGGATCACTCGAGCCCAGGAGATTGAGGTTGCTGTGAGCTAGGCTGACGCCACGGCACTCACTCTAGCCTGGACAACAAAGTGAGACTCTGTCTCAAAAAAAAAAAAAAAAAAAAATTTTTTTCTTTATAGTTTTTTTTCTTAAATCAGGATCCAAATAAGATTCACATATTATATATCTCTCAAGTCCCCTTCAGTCCAGAACAGACCTCTCTCCCTCCCGCGTGCCCTTTCCCATGGCACCGTCTTATTGAAGGAAAAAGATGGTTCTGGGTTTGTGTGACTGCTTTCCCTGTTTTAACCCCTACACTGGGAGTTGGACCTGACAGTCTGATTAGACTGGAGTTTAAGGTTTTGGTGACAACACTGCATGGGTGGCACCTGGGCCTCGTGTCGGGGAGGACACCCACTCTGCATGGCGCTGAGACTGCTCCACAGATCCCAGCAGCGGCGCCTCAGCCTCCCACCCTGGAGTTGTTCACCAACATTTTCCCTGTTGGTTTCAGCATCCTTTGCTGATAAATGCCTTTAATGATGATATTGTTTGGAAGTGCAAATGGTGATTTGATTTTCTAATTTTATCCTTCACTGTGTATTGTTTTCACCCTGAATTACTTTGTGAAGAAGAACCTATATTCACCCACAGGGGCCACTTCCTTACTCTGAAATATAGTCAATTCAGAAGGGGCGGCACCTATGATCACAGTCACTCTGGGTCAGTTCACTTAGCACGTCTCCCTCCAATGGCTCCCATCCCACTCATAGCAAGCGCCAAGTTTCCACAGTGACTTGAGAACTCATGCCATTTTCCCATCCCATGTCTCTCAGACCATATCACCGGCCATGCCCCCTCCTCCATTTCAGCCGTGCTGGCCTCCCTGCTGTTCCTCAGACCCAGTGAACATTCCCCACTTCTGGGCCGTGCACTTCCTATCTGTCCCCAGTACCTGGAACGTCCTCCCCAGAGAGTCACATGGCTCCTTCCTCCATTTCTCAGGTCTCTGCCCAAACACCACCTTTGGAAGCTTTGCCTCTACCACCCCATATCCCAGGGCAATCCCTCTGCCTCTCGCTTCCCCCTGTTCTTCTCTCACAGGGGAGACTGCCTCTAGAACAGCAGTTCGCAAATGCGGCTCCAAACCTGCAGCAGTGGTCTCACCTGGGGCCGTGTCAGAAACACAGATTCGAGGGCCTTCTCAGCCCTGCTGATCAGAACTGGGGCCGAGTCCTGACAAGCCTGCGGTGATTCCGATGCAGGCTCCCTCGGAAGACCACTGCAGTGCGCTTTACAAATACCATATCAATCAATCCTCCCAACAACCCGACCAGGTAGGTCCCGTTGTATCATCCCATTTTAGAGATGACAAAACACAGATTTCTGGGCACCACCCCCAGAGGTTCTCAATCAGGAGGTCTGGGGCAGGGACCTGGCATCTGCATTCCTGACACTTCCCAGCTGCTGCTGCTGCTGCTGGTGCAGGGAGCACCTTTGGAGACCAGTGCTCTAAACTGCAGGTAAGTTTGACATCTTAACCCCAGGGGCCATAATTAATTTTCCCTTCGTAGCATTAGCATATTAAAAATAAAAGCTGCTTCAGAGCTGCTAACACCTGTTGGTTGGCCTATCAGCCTTGGAGTAACCAGATTTTATCATCGCCAGACATGTGATTTTTTTTCCCCACTGAAAAAAATATTTCTTCCAATGCCCAGGGGGCAAGGCAGGCAGAGCATTAGAGACCTGGAGTTGTAAAGAAATTCAAATTTTCTAAGCCCATTTCAGATGAAAGGCAGCTCAGAGAACGCCTGCCAGGGGTGGCGCCTGCCGGAATGGCCTGCCGTGAGGGGCGGAGCCTCTGCCGTGAGGGGCGGAGCCTCCTGCCGTGAGGGGCGGAGCCTCCTGCCGTGAGGGGCGGAGCCTGTGGCACATTGCCCGGTGCTTGCCCAGTTTAAAGGCCTTTAAATTCAATTAGAAAATAAAATACCGTCTGAGGCACACAAAACATGCCTGGGGTCAGGGTCTTATGGCATGCCACCAGGCTGCAGCCGCTGATCCTCCTCCAGACTGCACATTTTATTCAAGGGGAAAATAAGGTCACAGAGTCAGCTGGTAGCAAAAGAAAACTGTGATTTCCACGCTGGGGCTCTCCAGCCTCCCCACATTGCCTTTGGAGAATACAAGTCCCTAGGATTGCCTTTGGCTTTTTGTAAAAATAGAAATTACAATAAAAACAAAAATATAAAACTTGATGGGACATACGGCAGTTAAAATCAGCTTCCGCCTCCTCTACCAAATCAGAAAACCTCTTTGTGCTATATTTAGCCTAACAGCACCAGCCAACTACACGAGGGGTCAGCTCAGGCCAGCGGCCAGAAAGGGGCAGACTCCGACGGAACAGGTCCATAGTGGGAATGTGCTGGCCCGCGGGAACAATAAGTGGTTTCCCCCGCCCAAGGGAAATGGCTTGCTGCCCTCAGCACCAGAAGGTTCTGAGACAGCATAAGGTTTGGCACCCTCTTTTCTTTGACAGCACTTGCTCAATACAGTGTCTGCCTTTGAGCTTCCTGCACTGAGGACTGGGCCGTGAGGAATTCGACACTATAGAGCTCTAGTTCTCAGCTGCGTCCTGCAGGGGAAGGTGGAGACCACGTCTTCCCTGAGTCTCAGACGTCTCAGTGGGGAGTTCCTCTCGCCCCACCTGTCCAGGTGCAGACAAGCCTCAGCAAGCCTGGCTCTCAAGTCCCAGGTGGGGGCTCCACAGGTCACACTGGGTGCACTGCACCCATGCCCTGCTGCGTGCATAGTGTGGGCTCAGTGAACAGATGCCAAGTCACACTTTTATGACCTCCAAGTAATAAAATACTCCCCCGCACAGTGACTCTGCTTATAGCACTGTGGCCTTGCAGCAGCACGCGACCTCTTAAAACCTTAGTTGCTTTTAAGATGATCATGTATATTTCTTTCTTCCCTTCTGGAAGTAGGGGGCTTTTCTCCCCAGGGGGTGGGGGGCAGGTCCATCCATCCCTCGGGTTCTGTGATGTATAAGCTCATAAATGAGCTGACTCAAATCTGCACTGTTCTCCCAGAGCTGGCTGTTGGAAGTTATGGAAATGCACACACAGAGAGTTGCACCTCACCCAGCGCAGCAGTTAAGCAAATGTTTCCCCGAATGGGGGAGGCTGGGAGTCAGAACTCATTGACTCACTGACTCCAGGCAGTTGGAAGAATTGCCACACCTACATTATTCTCACTTGGACTGCTATTGTCACCTCTGATGGGGGTTTTCACTGCCACAGAGCTTTTCCTTTAATTCACGGGCCATGCTGCTGACAGGTTACTGCCTCCAAAGCACAGCTCCGTTCTGTTTCAACACTGTTAAAAATGCCAAGTCAAGTCCAGAGTCTGAGAACACCAGCGCTGGGTCTCTGCGATTTTGTCCCAGCTCACCTTCCCTTCTCACGCAACTCAACGCTCCCCACAGCTGCAAGCTCCCCAAGAAGGAAGATCACGTTCCTTCATCTGTGTCCTTCTTAAAGTCTAGTTTTGTATTCAGCACTTACCAGATGCCCAATTAACATGCTGAATTAAAACCATGCAAACAATTTCCATGAGAGCTAACAAATTAAAAAATGACTATAGCTTTTATTAAGCACACTTACACAAGGGCACGAGGGTCCGTCATGAGCACAGGCTCTGATGACTCTGCACCAAACAAGAATGCAATGAGTCCCTCAGAGCTGCCCCAACTGTAGGAGAGCTGGTCGCCTGCCTATCAGAGCAGATCTCCACCTCCCCACTAGTGCTGGGCGGGGACTCTGCTGCCATTTACAGAGCTGCTAACGGTGATGATGAGAACAGTGGTTTTCATTCAGGGAGGGCTTGTAGGTGCCAGGCACTGGACATGGTGCCTTTTATTTTTATTCCTGGAGGGAACCTATGAGGGAGGTAATTTTTTTAAATAGATGGGATGGACAGGCTTTCATGGGTTCAGTAACTCACCTAGGTTTATATTTAGCTGGGCCAGGTGCTTCACACACATCTTGTTTAAATTTTATCTGCACGACTGCCTCCATGGTAGGTGTCAACATTTTTTTTTTCCAACCTGCCCTGTCCCACCCCTGGTGCTAACATTCTGATTTGAAGCTCAGGAAGTCTAGCTCATTGACTCTCATGAACACAGCTAGTCAAGGGGAGAGCCAGATTTCAGGCCTAGGCTTCTGTGGTGCCCTGGGGGCAAGGTAACAGGAGGCTGAGGGGAGAGGGACCTGGGTGTGTATTTCCTGTGGACTAGTGTGGACAGAGAGGCACGGCAAGGCCCCAGGCCTGCCCTGCCTCTGTGACCCATGAGCACTCCCTCTGAGCACTCCCTGAGCACTTTCTCATTTGTAAAAAGAATGTTGGACAAGATTACGACGTTGTGGAGAGGATCAGCATATATCACCCTGAAATATGCCACTTTATTTTGAGTTGAAGGCAATTGAGAAACAGCAGACACAAGCAAAGCTCTCTACCCTCCACCTTGCTGCCTAATTTCCTTTTGCAAAGGTGTCCCCTCCATCCTGCCCTTCTCGCATCTGAGACGTAGGAGACAAGGAGACTGTTGTCGCTGGGGACAGCACCAACTTGAATCTGCATAACAAACCTCAGTGAAGTAACCCTTATCTTCCATTAGTTCCCCAGATATTTACCATCCCACAATTTACTGTCTCTAGAAACCAAAACCTTTGCCTTTGTCTTGTCATTTCTCCACAAATTTACTGCTCTTTGTTAAAATGGTATATAAGCTCTCAGGCTTAACTGCTTCTTTGGGTTTTCACTTCTTTTTCTGTGAGATGCCCCTGTACATGTAAAGATTAAAACATTGACATTAAATAAAATTAGCATGCCCTCTTCTCCTGTTCATCTATCTTTAGTCAGTTTAATTTGCGGGGTTCCAGGTACTGAACCAAAGAGGGTAGAGGAGAAAATTTTTTCCTTCCTACAGTTAATTGTACCTTTAGAATTGTAACATTTCACAATTGTGTGATAATCTTTGTAATGAAAATAACGCTGTTAGAGAATTAAAAGCCTGCACAAAATTAAAAGCGGTAGCATTAAGACGAGTTCGGTCTTGTCTGAGTACACGCCGGTTCCAGTCCAGAGCCACTGCTCCATCGAGAGTGGCCAGATGGAGAATACCGGCCCCTGACGCAGGGCTGGGCGCTCGGGAGGGCCCGACAGCGCACATGGGAGGAGAGGGAGGTGCCAGTGAAGGGGTGGAGGGTGGAGAGAACCTGTCAGCACAATGAAAGGCAGGTGGAGGGGAGGGAGTGGCCAGTCTTTACTCAGGGGACACCACGGCTCTGTGGCTGTGACCCCAGGGCAACAAAAACCCATGTCTGCCTCTTTTCTGCCAACTGGGGTTTCCATGTCCTTGAAAACTCTTCCCCCAGCTTTGATAAGAAGAAAAACAGTGTGTTCCCCTGCTCTCCTCCCACAGCCACCCTGGGGAACCCCCACCACGCACACAAGCCTTTGATGGGGACAGAGGGCGATCTGTCTGCAGAGACTGTATGGAGCTTTGCATAAAATGTTTTGCTTTCTGTTCATTCCCGCGTTCAGCAGGTTCCCAAACCCCGGCCCTATCCCTCTGGGGGTGACAGCCTCAGCTTTCTAATTCATAAACACGTGAGAATATCCGAGCCTCCTTATGCCAACGTGTGAAATTAAAGCCGGCTGTGTCTATGAGAATACACCTTCCCTCATCTTCTCCACCCTCCGTGGCGGTGTTTCCCAGCCTGGAAGGCCCTCCCACAGAGACAGTACTGTCCTGGCCAGAAGGCCTGCCAGGGCAGTCCCAAAGGCAGGGGCTTAGAAATTGGCTGGGATTCCCATGTGCTAACTGCCAGCTATATGGCATCCTGTGAGTTTTTTATGAAATGAGGACAAGTACTATCTGGAAAAATTGGTTCTGTTAAGGAAAATGATGATGAGGCCAAGTGCTGGCACAGCCACTCCAGTGCACATTAACATACCAATTCAGGGACACAGTTAAACAGCCCACGGCTGGCCTGGGGGTCCATTCACAACGGCAAAAAAGGCTATGACAAATCGCCCCTTAAGTTCCAGGTAAACAGGATATAAATGAACTTTTGTAAAGTTTATAACTCTTGCGAACTGCTGGGGACTTTTGCATGAGAATGGCAACTTGCAAAGTGACCTGATTTCTAACCACGGTATACGGAAGGACCTTTCTAAATGATCCTTTGTGTAAAGGCCAAGAATGATTTTCAAGGTCCCATGTGAAAAGTGGGAGACAATTGCCATAGCAAATTTATGAAGTGACAGAGCAGCAATCTTTACGGAAAACAGCTGGGGCCCAACAGGCCAGGGCGGCCCACGGCGTGGCGGAGGCGGGAGAACCGAGAGGCCGTCCCGGGGGACCTGTAGCTTTGATGCGATCAGTCTAGAAGGGAAACATTTAGCTTTTGGGAAAACAGGAACAGAGGCACTATAGGTTAGAGCAATTCTATCGAGCATTTAGAAGAGTCACGTCTTCACACTATGTTCCTTCTTTAAGGGCCAAGTTGGACGCGAGGCGCCTCTCCCTCGCGGTCCGTGTAAATGTGTGTGGTGTCACCATCACACGCGTGATGTCAGCGGTCTGGCTTCTGCGGGTTCTTGGCTGTGATGGAAACACATTCAGAATGTGCAGAACTTGACAAAGAGAAACACTCCTCATGCGGAGGCTTTTGAGAGGCCGAGAGACGCCCGCAGAGGCCCTTTTGAGGCTCGCTGGGAAGAGTTTCTCAGAAAGCATTCCCTTGTGTCAGGCTGACAGGGAAAATGCTATTAAATACGAAGGATCGAAGCATTAGAAAAGTCATTGCACTGAAACACAATTTTTGTTGCTATTGTTGAAAAGACATTATTCCAAAGCTTAACTTGTATATAGTGTAAGAGGCTGTTTCAAGGTGTGTTTAGAGAACACACTTAAAACTCACTTTTAGTAAGACAAATGTCAGACCTCACTGGAGAAAGCTCCTACAGTAGATTGGTTTTCTTTTCTCTTTCTCTTTCTCTCTTTCTCCCCCAACCCCTTTGGGTCCAGAGCATGAAAACACACAGAAAATCATAGTATAACATTACCCCATTTAGGATGTGACTCTGCAGTTACTGGTTAAGCATTGCTATAGTATTAGGTGACATTCAAAAGTAAATGCTGTCATGCCAAACCACCCCAGGCATGGGGAATGTTCAGCCAGCACTTCTGATTCGCGCTGGGCTGCCTTCCACACAGTTGACAGAAGAGAAAGAGGCAGGAGAGAAGAAAGCACAGGAGCAAGTCATTTATCATCCATTGTGACCATCGCTTCCCTGTCACGAGTGGGGGTGGGACAGGGGGCTGGAAGGCTGTAAAGCACAAGCAGAAAATAATTCCAGGCCATGCCTGCCTGCTCCACACTTGGTTTGGAAAAAGAAAATAAAATTCGAATGACGTCCTTAAGGTAAAATAAATAATTAATGTAAAGTCTTTAAAAGAAAAGTTAACAGACTTTTTTTTTAAATCATGTAACTTAAATCTTGTACTTCTCCCATTTCCTAAACAAATCCTAGGGACCGAGTGATTAAATATATCTTAGTTCTTGGATAGAGGAAGTAGTCTGTTCAGTAGTGTTAAAAAGATAATCCAAGTTTAGTAACTCCTAGCATTTTGTTCCTCTAGGTACATAATATGGGTTTAAATTTTAGGTGTGTCTGTGTGACAACTCATTTTCAGTTACCGTTTTGTTTCAAGACAGAAGACTGAATTTCGAATCAAACACAATCTGGTTTGATATTTCATGGATATGTGTCTTCTTAACATAATTTTACTCCTTCAAAAAGTCATTGTATGGCTAGCAAGTTGAGATACAGAAAAATTTAAAGGAATGCCTTATTTCATTTAAGCAACCAAATACTAAAAATTGAAATTCATCATGAAGTCTGGCCCCAGGAACTATGAACACAAGGCCATCCGAGCTCATCGCCTCCTCTTTTCCCAAACAGGCCCCCTTTCTCTCTTCCTGTCTGCGGACGCCCCTGAAGCAGTGCCGCCAAGGGCTCCCTCCGCCCTCTGCATCAGCTCCCTGGGCCTTCTGCCCGGCCACAGAAACAGGTGCTTTCGGGAGGAGCCCGGACGCCAAGCTTAACAGGGAGGTTCTGAAGCATGGCAGAGCCCGAGAACCTTTTCCATCAAGTGTCGGCAAAATCGCTGGGATCTTTTCGTCTGCCTCAAGCTACCATCGTACATTGTGCCGTTGTACTGAATGGTACCATTGTACCACTGTACCAAAACCTTCACATTAGTGTGGGGGAGGAAAAACTTTTCCTCTGCCCTCTTGGGTTCAGTGTTTTGGGACTGTGAATTAAACTGACCTGTCTGAGACAGACTGGCAAGAGAAATGACAGAGTTTATTTACACGCATGTGCCTGCAGGAGCTCACAAAGACAGTGGCTCAAAGAAGAGGTTAGAATTTGGGGCTTTATGTACCATCTTCACACAGGAAAGGGGTTAGGAGTTTAAGGGACAACAAGTGGTAGGAAATGACTGAGAAATGGGGGAAATAATGAAAGGTAAGGTTTGTTGTAGTGAAGTATGTTATGCAATTTCTCATCCTGGCACCACATTCTCATCTTTGGTGACAGGAGTGTCACTCTTTGGTAGGGGAAACCTCCCTTAAAAGGGGATTTCAAAGAACAGTTGAATTCTTTTGGAAGGCTCTGCTTCTAGCTAGATGAGGGCAGTGCAGACAAAGCCTCTTCATGCATCTGTCGGTTCTCAAATGGTTTCAGCTCAAAAGCACCCTTATGCCAGAAAGCCCAGTGGCATGTTCTGGACACTTCATCAGCTAACAGTCACCTGCATCTCCACGTGTATCCCTAACCACGTAAGCAAGAGCTATTCCATTTACAGGGTGGCTCTGAGAGGCTGCTCACCAAACATGCCTCAGGTCACATGGTTTATAGTATCCAGGACTGGAAGTCAGATCTGCTGATTTTTTTTTTCTATTTTTATTAATTTTTTTTATTTTGGCATATTATGGGGGTACAGATTTTAAGGTTTCAATAAATGCCCATTTCTTCCCCTCCCCCCAAAAGTCTGAGTCTCCAGCATGACCATCCCCCAGATGGTGCACATCTCACTCATTATGTATTTATATACCCGCCCCCTCCCCCCTCCCCCCTGCCCCAATACATATTACTGTACACTATGTGTCACTTAGGTGCTACTCAGTTAATACCAGTTTGCTGGGAGAATATATCTGGTGCTTGTTTTCCCTTCTTGAGATCTTGCTGTTAAATACAGATTTATCCTCAAAACAAACACTTCCCTCACAACACACGACACAAATCCCATCATTTAGACAGGATGCCTTCCTTTTAGATGTATTTTTCATTAAGACTACACCATTTATCTCTATGACTGTGAATGAAACTGGCTTTAATAAGCTAAGCTTGCCAAGGGGGGCTTGTTTCAGTGTTTGCTGAGACGTAATTAAACACCCGACCCAGCCAAGCATCGAAGGACCACACGGCTGCTCTTGAATTGTCCATCTGCTTCCAATATAATGACGGATTGACCGACCTTGGGGAGGGGCTGTGGCTAAACCTAGACAAGAGCTAATCACTGTCCGACACTGGTGCCCTAGCGGGCAGTCCCACACACACACAGGAAGAAAAACGGTTCATTTGGAAAAGGACAAGACAGAATGTACAAGATGGCAGAAGAAGGAACTTAACATTCTATAAATATTTAGAATATTTGCCTTCAGAGAATTTTAGACTTGATTCATTTATCCCTAAGTTAGAAAATCTTTTAAGAGGATTTTTGCTAAGGGATGGTACATGAATTAGAATGTACAGACTAGGCTGTGTAGAGATAGCCCTGGGGAATATCTTTGTTTTTCCAGTTTTTCTTCCAGAACTATACTGTGCAATATAGTAGTCACATATTGCTATTAAATTTAAACTTAAATTAAATTTAGGTATAATTAAAAATTCAGTTCTTCAGTTGCTCTAGCCATATTCAACGTGCTCTATTGGACAGCTGATCTAGAATCTTGATGTTCAAGTGTGAAATGAAGACACTTTCCAGCATTCTCAAGACAATTTTTTAAATTATGTAATATTTCAGCCGGGCGAGGTGGCTCACGCCTGTAATCCTAGCTCTTGGGAGGCCGAGGCGGGCGGATTGCTCAAGGTCAGGAGTTCAAAACCAGCCTGAGCAAGAGCGAGACCCATCTCTACTATAAATAGAAAGATTATTGGCCAACTGTAATATATAAAAATTAGCGGGCATGGTGGCTCATGCCTGTAGTCCCAGCTACTCAGGAGGCTGAGGCAGAAGGATCGCTCGAGCCCAGGAGTTTGACGTTGCTGTGAGCTAGGCTGACGCCATGGCACTCACTCTAGCCTGGACAACAAAGCGAGACTCTGTCTCAAAAAAAAAATATATATATACATATATATATTTCACACATTGAAAAAGTATAAGAAATAAATAGAGAACAGGTGTGGATCAAACATTCAGCTTGGGCAAAGCTCTACATGTGCTCTATTTTCTTCCCTTTTCCTCCTCGTTTGTTGGTGAGGATAAGAAAACGCAATGGAAATGGTAGAAGCTCCATAGAATCCCTTTAATGAGTCTAATAAATGCTCTATTCAAAAGTTCCAAGGACAAAAGTGACAGACACAATTGTGAAGTCAAGAACCTGGGCTCTGGAGCAGAAATCCTGAGTTCTAAGTTTCCTGGAAGACTGAAAGCAATTCTAAAATGTTTGGAATTCCTTTGGAAGTTAAAGTGAAACTAATTTGAATGCACAGAATGATGCAGAAAGATTTTTCCTCTAAAAGGAGAAATGGAGAGCATATCTTGAAAGAACCACTTCCAAATTTTAAACATATTAAAATAAGTAAGGCTGGGCGTGGTGGCTCACGCCTGTAATCCTAGCACTCTGGAAGGCCAAGGTGGGCGGATTGCTCGGGTCAGGAGTTGAAACAGCCTGAGCAAGGAATGAGACCCGTGTCTCTACTATAAATAGAAAGAAATTAATTGCCAGATGAATATATATATATATAATTAGCGCATGGGTGCGATGCCTGTAGTCCCAGCTACTCGGGAGGCTGAGGCAGCAGGATTGCTTGAGCCCAGGAGTTTGAGGTTGCTATGAGCTAGGCTGACGCCACAGCACTCACTGTAGCCTGGGCAACAAAGCAAGACTCTGTCTCAAAAACATAAAATAAAATAAAATAAAATAAAATAAAATAAAATAAGTAGGCATTAGGCAATCACAACTCCTTCAATATCACCTTTTGTTCCTTATACTTTCAGAAACACGTTTCTTGTAAATTACCCACTTACTGCCTCCTTACAATGCAGTAGCAGTGCTTCTGGATATAGAAGTGAACACAGGAGAAAACTCATTTCTCGGCAGCGCTGGGAGCCTGCGATGAGGGGCCCAGCTCCCTGGTCGTGGTGAGCTGCTCACTGAACTTTAAGTATCAGGAAACAGGTAGACTCTTCACTGTGCAAGCTTCCTTTATACAAAGAAAGTGGCTATTTATCGTCCAGTACTTGACTAGACAAAAGATCCATTGCTAAGGCTGTAATAAACATGGCCCTATGTCCGAATGCTAAGAACATCCAGCTCTGTCAGAATTCCTTACACTCTTTCATCTTCGTGTCACTCCTACTATGTTCTTGAACCCAGTAGACTCCTGGCATCAGCGTTTGGGGAATTAGCACGTGGAGGTGTTTCACTGGGTACAGAGATTCAGATGACTAAGAAGCAAACGCAAAGACGTGTGTGAGTTGTGTATAGTCTGTCTATATGCATCGTTAGAAAACGCCTCCTTAGAGGACACCACTCGCTTTTAAGTGATAAAGACTTAGTTGCTTACATTTCTAAAAACATGGTTCCCTTCTCAGGACAAGGGAGGATAAGAGAGAAGCAGGGAGCTTGTATTTATATAGAATCAAGCTGGCATGCTCCGTAGGTCCAGTGCTTGCTGACTACCTAATACATTTCTGTTACTACGTAAAAGCAGTTCTGCCCCAAATAATCATACAGTAAAACCGGCCTACCTGAAGCTAAAAAGAGTTTTTGTTGTTTCTGTTTTTGTTTTATATTATAACCTGCGGGACACACAGCCACGCCCATTCTCTGTGGCGTCCGCTGTGGGCTCCCTAGTGGTGAGGAATATACCAAGTGACGTGGTGCTCTGGCTTGCTGCCAGCCGCTCTGCTGCCCTACAGGGCTTCACTTCCGCATTTAAAATGCTCCACTTACAACCCATGGGGGACTCAGCTGGTAGCACTGAAACTTCTCCCCGCTCGAACTGCGCAAGGCCCAGACAAGCTCCTGTCCTTTGGAGGTCACTGACCCTTCCTCTGGGCACGGTGCCAGCGCGATGCCCTGTGTGGTCTCCCCCACGTCCCAGCCCAGCGTCTCTGCTGACCTGCTCGTGTGCTTCTGCCACCTGTAAAACCCAGCACTGCGTATCTACAACTAAACTCACCACTGCCCCTCCCCACACAGAAGTTAGCCCTTCCACCAGCTCCTTTGTGTCTGCTGATGGCCTGTGCGTTCCCCCGTCACCGCCGGTTGAAAGTCTCTGGCCCCTTGCACCCCTGCACGGACGCAGTCCCTGGCGCAGCAAACTTCCTCCCAGTGCTGACTGGCCTCTCCACGCCCACTCTCTGCTCCAGCTCGGGCAGGGCCCTCTGCGTCTGCTGCCACACAGCGTACAAGGCCGCTCCTAACCAAGCCAGAGCCTCTTGAGCCCCTTCTGTTGGCAGCCCACTCCTACGCTACCACATCCAAGTCCTCGGCTGGAATTCCAGCACCTCCAGCTACTCTCTAGCTGCACCCTCCCACCACCTCCTGGTGGTGCCCCTCCAACACGCCTTCCACTTGACCTGTCATGTCTTCGTGCAGCTTGTCCTCCTGTTAGGAATACTCTGCCCTTGCTGATGCCCGGGATGAATTCTAACTAGGACCTGGCGAAGCTATCTTGGGTCAGGACATACATATGACACACAGCATATACTCCCAGTAGCATTTAAGGAACAACACCCACATTTTAACTTTTCAAATTAAACAAAGATACCACAAGGGTTTTTCCCACAATCATTGTGGGAAATTTCTGAAAATACAGAAATATCTATTAAGGGAATTACCGATAACCTGAATACCTGGCATTCATATTTTAGTATCTTTTCTCCCAATCTTTTAAAGAGTTATTTTTTAAATTGTTATCAGCTTGCTTTTGTTTTTTAGCATGACATTGTGCACATTTCTCCAAGCCATTAAGTATGCCCCTGTGTGGCCACACCATTTGTGAACTCACCCCATGCTTCACTGTCAGACATCCAGTTGCTTTCCATTTTGTATAGTTCCATT